AGCATTGTTCTCGGGATTCCAACGCCGCGGATCAACCTTTTTCGTCGGGGCGATCCCAAATCTTGTCAGATCGCCATTCTCGGAACTTCAACACCGTGAACCAGCGTAACTGCTGCACCCACAGAATCGCGAATCCTTCCAAAACACCCTTTTCTGAAACGCTGGTCATGGGAATCCGTGAAACGCTTGCTAATGTTAGAACCAGTATGACTCTTGCAAGTTTTCAAATGAAGGTACGCCGCGCTGAGGCGAAAACCAATTTTGAAAACGGGCCGCCCTCAATCCGTGAAATGTTTGCAGACTTCTAAAACGAAGATGTGAGGCGCTAAGGCGAGAGCCACATTTTGAAATCGGCCCGCCCTCTATATGTGAAGCTCTTACAAAGCCTTAAAACGAATGTGTTCGGTGGTAAGGCGAACACCACATTTTAAAAACGACCCGCCCTCCATTGTTTCAAGCTCTTGCCAATGTTTAAAGCTTTGGGGTCATACATGGTAAGGACGCCTCAGGCGAAACGCCTGGCCCAACCTAACAACTGGCCTCGGGGTGCGACGGGGAGAACTTATTTATAAGGGGACAAGGAATGGAGGGGAGGAGGAGGAGGAGGAAGAGGGGGAGTTGGAGGAGAAGCATGATGCTGATGATGATGATGAGGAGGAGGAGGAGGAGGAGGAGGAAGAGGACGGGGAGGAGAGGGGGAGGAGGAAGACGATGATGATGATGATGATGATGCTGATGATGATGATGATGCTGATGATGATGATGATGATGCTGATGATGATGATGATGATGATGATGATGATGATGCTGATGATGATGATGATGATGATGATGATGAGAGGAGGAGGAGGAGGAGGCGGACGGGGAGGAGGAGGAGAAGGAGGAGGAGGAGTAACGGAGGAGGAGGAGGAGGAGGAGGAAGGGGAGGAGGAGGAGAAGGAGGAGGAGGAGGAGGAGGAGGAGGAGGAGAAGGATGATGATGAGGAGGAGGAGAAGGAGGAGGTGGAGGTTGAGGAGGACGAGGAGGAGAAGTAGAACATTAAGGAGGAGGAGGCGGCGGAGGAGGAGGAGGAGGAGGAGAGGAGGGGGAGAGAAGGAAAAGGAGGAGGAGGCGGATCAGGAGGAGGAGGAGGAGGAGAGGAGGAGGGGGGAGGCGGAGGAAGGGGAGGAGGAGGAAGGAGGAGGAGGAGGAGGAGGAGGAGAGGAGGAGGAGGAGGAGGAGGAGGAGGAGGAGGAGGCGGAGGAGGAGGAGGAGGAGGAACGAGGGGGCAAACGAAAAACACCGCGCGCGCACGCTCACATGCAGGAGGAGATGGGGGAGGCCAAGGCCTGGCGCACGTTGGGGGCGGGCGAGGGGCGGGAAGGGGCAAGGGGCGTCGGCGGCAGCCAGGGAGTCGTCGTGGGTCGTCGTGGGTGGGGGGGGGATCGTCGGGGGCGTCGTGGGTCTGGGGGTCTGAAGGCCGTCAAAGCAGGGCTGGCCGGGCTTCAGGCGTGGCGGGCGGGGTCGTCGGCGGCAACGGGGGCGAGGACGGGCCAGGAACGGAGGGGGGCTGCCATAGGGCTTACAGCATCCGCCGTGGCGGCTGCCGTGGCAGCGGTCAAGCGCGCGGCCGTCGCGCCCGATCGCGGCTGGAGGCGTCGCAGCACTGCCCGAGCATTTTTCCAGTGCAGGGAAATATAATTGAAAGTCTCTGGGCAAGCTGGTCGGCCGCGAGCGCTGCGTCGTCTCCGGTAGCGTCGACCGCGCGCTTGGCGAGCACCGCGAAGGCGCGACGCGCCTCGCGGCCCCAGCCGCCAGGGGCCTCGCATACCATCGATATGAACGACAGGCCGGCTTCTGAGCATCTGCGTGGTGTGTCCAGGTGCCGCCCCTGCCCCTCGTAGCGGGTAGGTCCGCGCGGAGGCTCAAGGTCACGGTGAAGTCCCACGCCGCCGGCGTGCCGCTTCGCCACCGCGGAACGAAAACGTCCGCGAGGCGCTTCCCGCCGCCTTCCAGGTCGTCGCCGCCAGCCTCCCTGGCCAGGGCGCCCTCGCCAGGCGTGCGCGGCGGCAGCAAGCCGCGGCGCTCGAGTTCCGCCCCAGCGTTGCCGGCGGTCAGCGCCTCGTGCCAGGCCTGGTTCCGGAGGCAGTTGTGGCGCTTCGTGCGGTCGCCGCGGCAGCTGCAGGTCGCCGCGGCAGCTGCAGGTGAGCGCGTGGTTTGCAAACGCGCCAATTACTTCAACGGACGCGGGGGCAAAAAGCCTCCTCCTCCTCGAGCAGCTGGTGTCGAAGGCGGCTTGCAGCGCCACTTGCATCAAGCTGTGCGGGAAGTCGGTGCCGAGTGCTGGGCACGGTGGCGCCTGCACCAGGCGATGGCGCCGGGGGCCGCCACCAGGTTGAGGTGGGCTTTCGTGGCCGGCGAAGCGCGTTGCCACAGGTCGTCGTGGACAGCGTCGTCCATCTTCTCGGAGAGAAGCCGTTGGTCTTTGTGCTGGGCGGGGTCGAAGGTGATCCGGTCTGCTGGAAGGACTGTGTCGTTGAAGGCTTGCGTGGCCGCGGACAGGCTGCACCCGCCTCCGCCGTCGGAGTCGTCGTAGGCCGCGTAAGGCTGTACGCAGATTTCCGCGTTGCGGGCGCGGGAGGCCAGGCAGGCGGCTGCGGCGTGCTCTTCGGTGGAGCGGAGCCCAAGCCCGCTTCGCTTCAGGTTGAGCTGCGCTTGCTTCCAGGGGTCGTCCGAAGGGGTAGACCCGCTGAGTTGCCCCAAGCATGGGCGGACGGCGATGTCCATGGCCTGCAGCGCGGTGGCGTGCGACATCGGCGGTACCACGCGCGCGGAGTATCCTACATTGCAGTAGGAGGCGCACTGGCGGAGCAAGAGCAAGGCCATTTGAGCGTTCTCCATGGCCCCAAGAGCTTCCAGCAGGTCTGCGGCCTTGGCAACCCTTTCCCTGGTGCGCTCCCCGCAGAAACGGTCGTTCCCCACGGGGGCCCCCAAGAGTGCGAAGCTGCTGTCCTCCCTGAGGCTGCCTTGTGGGAGCGCGGCCATGTCAACAGTGCTTTCGGCGCCGCTGGCGGGCACCACCTCCCACTTGCCGGGCCTTGTGCTGATGTCCAGGCCGACCGCGGCTAGGCGCCTCACCAGGCGGTGCACGAGGCGGGCGACCGCGGGCGCGCCCCCGGCCAGGCAGCCAGGGCGTCTTGGAAGCCTCCTGGGCAGTCTGAAGGGCGTGAAGGCGTTTGGGACCGATTGTCTGGCGATGGGGGGCCCTCTTGGACCGTCTCGGGGGTCTCTTGGGGCACTCTTGGCTTGTCCTGGCATTGTGAAGGCCTGACGGCCTGCGCCGCCGACCCAGGACGACGACAACGACGACCACTACGACGGCCACGACAACACAACGACGACGGTGAGCTGATGACCCTGCCACAAGCTCGGGACATGAGGCGGGCGGTGGAGGGAGAAGGAGGAGGAGGAGGAGGAGGAGGAGGAGGGAGGAGGAGGAGGAGGATGAGGAGGAGGCGGAGGAAGAGGAGGAAGAGGCGGACGATGATGATGATGCTAATGACGATGCTGACGATGATGATGGTGATGGTAATGATGATGATAATGATGATGATGACGATGATGATGCTGATGATGCGGATGATGATGATGATGAGGATGATGATGAGGATGATGATGATGATGCTGATGCTGCTGATGATGATGCTGCTGATGATGTTGATGATGATCATGAGGAGGAAAAGGAGAAGGATAATAAGGAGGAGGAAGAGGAGGACGAGCAGGAGGAGGAGGAGGAGGAGGAGGAGGAGGAGGAGAGAAAAGCAAGGGAGAGAAGACAGCACCTTCTCTCTCTATCGCCTTTCCCTTTTCAGGTCTGTCTTGAGATGCGTTCACTCGCAGGTGCGCGCTAGTGTGTCCTGCTCGACTGGACCTCTTCATGCGATGCGAGGAGGAGGAGGAGGAGGAGGACGAAGAGGAGGAGGAGGAGGAGGAGGAGGAGGAGGAGGAAGAACAAGAGGAGGAGGAGGAGGAGGAGGAGGAGGAGGAGGAGGAGGAGGAAGATGAGGAAGAGGAGGAGGAGGAGGAGGAGGAGGAGGAGGAGGAGGTGGAGGCGGAGGAGGAGGAGGAGAAGGAGGAGGACAGCCGTGTGGCTCCTCGGAGGCGGGCGTCTGGGAGGCGACGGGGCCGGGGCCGGGGCCGCGGCCGGGACCGGGGCCGGAGGCGGGGCCAAGACGGGGGCCAGGGGGCCAAGGCCGTGGCCAGCGGGACTGGGGGGCCAGGGCTGGGGCTGGGGGTAGGGACGGGGCTGGGGGCCAGAGCCGGGGCCAGGCCGGGCCAGGACTGGGGCTGGAGCGGGGGCCAAGAGGGGGGTAGGGGTCCTGAGGGAGGCAACCACTTTTGCCGCGTCCTGCGGCTTTTCTTGGCCGCCGAGCCACCCGATGGGGGAGTCACATGTGCCCCGAGACCCCCACGGGACCCCTCCCCGGGATCCCCCCCCACGATCCCGCTTCCCAGACCCCCCCCTTGGCGGGAAAGGGATCAAAGGGAAGGGGCTTCCATTCGACTCAACTACAACGTTGCTAAACTACGAGTCAAACGGAACAGCCTGTTCCACGCGCCGAAAAGGGTCGGCGGATTTTCTGAGGCCCCGGGATCCCCAGGGGGGGATGCGTATCTGCCCCCCCCCCTGGGATCCCCCAGCGATCCCCCCCTGGACCCCTCCGCGACCCCCCCCGACGGGGGAGGGATCAAAGGGAAGGGGCGTCCTTTCGACTCGGTTACGACATTGCTGCATGTTTCTGGCGGTGACAGGCGTGAGGAGGGCGCAGGGAAAGGGGACCATGGATCGACGACCGACGGAGACGACGACTCGAATTGACAAGCCCGTTACACACGCCGACAGGCGCGGTGGTGGTGCGTAACTGCATTCTGTGTGTGTACTTCTCGTCTCCTTTCCTCGCCCCTTCCTTGCTGTGCCTGCCCGCCCGCCCGCCTCACCCCAGCCCCCCCTCCGCTCAAGGCCGGCAGGGTGAAGATGGTGCCGGCCGCCGACGAGCGGCGGGACTCCCTGGAGGAGTGCCTCGTCGCCGCCGCGGGGTGCGCCGGCCCGACGTGCGCGAGCTACTTCGACCGCGAGGCCCCGGAGCTGCCCCGGGTGCCCGCGGCCAAGGACGTCGGCATGATGAAAGTCGGAGGGCGTCCAAAGAGGCGAGTGAGGGGATGGTGTGCGCGCGTGGGGGGATTCTCGTGGCCGCGGCCATGAGATCCCCCAGGTGTCGTGGCCCCCTCGTTTGATTTCAAGGCGTTCTCTGGGCGCCCCCTCGTGCGTGCTGATGCCTCGGCCCATGATTCGCAACCGCCCTCTTCCACAGCCCGTCTCTTCCCGGGGGAGCGTAAGACCCGGGTTTGCCGGGACTCGGGTTCGCCATCGTTTTTTGACGACCGCGACTCGGATTTTGACGAGGAGGAGTTTTGTGGGATGTCTGCAGCGGGAGGCCTCGTCAAAATGCAGGCTCGGCCTCGTCATTTTTTCGACGACCTCGTCGGGGATTTCCGAGTCCCCCGTACCCGGGTCTTACGTCTCCCCGATCTTCTACGTTCCTGAGACAACGGGCCTTGGAGCACCTGTTGGGCTTCCAGGAGGCTGGGTGACCCTCGAGATTCTGGCCAGAGGGCGCCTTTCAAAGAGGTCCGGGGTCCGATGTCGCAGGCTCGCCACTGGGAGATCGGATCCTGGAGTGGCTTCCACCACACCAGGGCTGAGCATTACGTCGGTATCTGTGACTGCCGAGCCAAGGCGTCCTCCACGACGGGGTCGAGCACCACGCCGCTTCCCAGCACACCGGAATTGAGCGCGTCCACGCTGTGCACACGACGGGGTCGCGCACCACGTCGGTATCCAGCACAACGGAATCGAGCGCTACCACGATATTCATCGCGACGGAGTCGGGCACCACGTCGCTATCCAGCGCTACGTGATCGTGCACCACCACATTGTTCACCATGACGGAGTCGAACATCATTTTCGTATCCAGCACCACGGAGGATACCACGATATCCACACGACTCTGTCTAGAACTACGGAATTTGGCGCTACCACGTTGACCACCATGATGGAGTCGAGCACCACATCCATATCCGACAATATATAATCGAGAACAACCAAGGTGCCCACCACGGCGGAGTCGACCACCGAATCGATACCCAGCACTTCGGAGTGGAGCGTTACCACGTTATCCACCACAATGGATACCAGCACCAAATCGTTATCCAGCACTTCGGAGTGGAGCACCACCACGATGTCCACCACCGAGGAGCTGGACACTGCTCCGCCAGTCAGCGCTGCAAAATGGCGCGCTACCACGGTGCCCACCACGATGGAGTCGAGCACCAAGTTGCAGTGGAACTGAGCACTGCGTCGTTATCCAGCGTTACTGGATAATGTGCTACCACGGTGCCCACCACGATGGTATCGAGCACCACGTCATTATTCATCACAACAGCATCGCGCGCCGCTACCATGCTATTCACCAGAAAAGAGTCGACCACCTCGTCGGTATCCATTACCACAGAGTCGAGCGCTACCAGGGTGTCCACCGGACCTACGGTACCGAGCGCTACCACGTTGTCCACCGCGACGGACTCGAGCACCACGTCGCCGTCCAGCACTATGGCGTTGTGACCTACCACGATGTCCTCCACGACGGACTCGAGCAGCACGTCGCTATCCAGGCAAAACGGAGTAGAGCACTACCACTGGACACCCAGCGACGGGATCGAGCATAACGACGGGTCCCACCGCCACGGCGCTTCACAGCACCCCCAGTCGCAGCCGCCAGCGCAACCCAGGACGACGCTGATACCCGGCACCATCAAGCCCGGCACGACGGCGTCGAGCACGACGTCGCTATCCAGTACGTCGGCATCGATTGCTACCACGCTGTCCACCACGTCGGGCATGCCCATGTAACAGGCGACCCCGCTGTGACACCTGGCAGGGCACCACTACGGTGTCCACCACGATGGAGTCTAACACAACGTCGTTATCCACCACTGCGTAATTGAACGCTGCCAGTTTTTCCACCGCGACGGAGTTGAGCACTATTTCGGTGTCCGGACTCAGGAGCACGCCGCTATCCATGCAAGACGGAGTAGAGCATTACCACTGGACATCAGCAGCAAGACGATGAGTAGCACGACAGGCTCTAGCAGTATGAGCTGGAACAGGTTTTTTTTCGATGTTGCTCATATCTGAGGGTTGCGGATCGATCGTGGCCTTACAAGGAGGCACCTACAGGGACATCATGTTCACGCTCATCGGACATGACTTCTGAGCTGATCGTTCTTTCAGTCGATGATGATGTCGAGTGTGCCAGCCTGTCCACACCTGACGGCCTCCCGCACTCCAGCAAATGTCGTGGTTCGTTCAGATGACGGTGATTTTGAGTGTACTGGCCTATCTGGGCGTGACGCCCCCCCCCCCTCCCCCCCGTACTCAAGGGAAGCTGGTGTCCCGAACCACAGGGCACAGGGCAGGCTGTTCATTGCGTGATAAGTCCAGTCGACGTGCTCTCGTAGAAAAGCAAGTCTCAAGTAACATTACTGGTTGTCATTGCCATTGTAATAGTCATGCGTCTTGTGACGAGTGTTTCGCTCGTCTCGGTATTGTCTTGGCACGTATGGCTTCGAGAGGTGCCTTTTAGCAACCTTGCATTGGCAGTCCTGGTGTCGTCGTCCACTTCCGCGTCGTGCTGAGCTGCTGCTTCTGTTCGTGTCTGCACAGCTTGCGGATTGCAGGCCATGGTCGCGTGTTGTTTCGCCTGCCTCCTCCCATCTCTTTCCTCTCCCTTATCTTTCTGTCTTTCAAGTTGTTATGCAATTCTGGCGCTGGCCCCTCTGGGGGCGACCTCCACCGCCTGGGGGGTGGGGGGCGTCAGGGCCGGTTTGTTTTCAGAGCTTCCCGTGCTGTGCCCCCCCCACGCACAGCAACACTCGCGTGGGGGGTAATGTCAGCGCTGCTCAGTGCAGCATCAACCTTTACCCTTCTCGATTTGAGCTATGTATTGCCTTTACGTGCGATCTCTTTTCACCTGGCTCGTGATACGAGACAGCACGCGCGCGAGCTAACACACCAGGTGGCCTGACCCGAGGGACGCTGGCGAAGAAAAGTGCAGTCATTGTGTGTGTGTGTGTGTGTGTGTGTCTGTGCGCGTGCGTGTGTGTGTGTGTGTGTGTGTGCGTCTGTGCGTGTGTGTGTGTGTGTGTGTGTGTGTGTGTGTGCGTGCGTGCGTGCGTGCGTGTGTGTGTGTGTCTGTGATGGGGAAACGAAGGATCCTGGAGGACGGGGGGCTTGGACAGAAGAAGGGGAGCGTCGTAAATATGAGCTGCTGGAAGTCCTCGCGGATCTCTCGGGTCGGCGTTGGACCCCTCTGCATTAGGATGCAATTTCTGGGAGGTTGGACTCAGCATCGGCGCTGCAGGTCGAAAACCGGCCGACTCTGGCACCATCGCGTGTAACTTCGCTTGGTCTTGCTGAATCCTGTCCCATCCAGATATATCCCAGGCCTCATCTGATCTGATCTGGCACACTGGCCCCCTACTCGGTCTCGACAGCCCGCAATCGCTCTTACGAAGACCTCCCATGAGCTGTCTCCAAAGAGCGGAAGCGTCATACCAACGAGCGGAGGTCCTCGCGGATCTCTCGGGTCCGGCGCTGGATGCCCCTGGCCCGTACCCCAATCGACGTCGCCCAAGCATGCTGATACTATGTGTGCGTCGGCCCCCAGGGGCGACGCGCGCACCGAGAAATCTTCGAGTATGTTCTCCGTGGCGGGCGCTTTCTGACCATATCGCTATGGAAACGATCTACGCTACAAGATGTTTGTTCAGAGCCCCGAATCACCAGGGGTAACTCGGGTCAGGGATAACTCGGGTTCGTTTTTCGGGAATCCAAACCCGAGTTACCCCGGACCCGAGTTACCCCGGATAATTCGGGCATCCAGAGCCCCGAATCATCAGGGGTAACTCGGGTCAGGGATAACTCGGGTTCCTTTTTCGGGAATCCAAGCCCGAGTTACCCCGGACCCGAGTTACCCCGGATAACTCGGGCGCCCAATTTGTACTACATGATCTGGTCGGACGCACGCCTCCGAGGAGGATCATAGCACCAGTATGTCCTTCTGCGCCCCACCCCAGGCGGCGCCTCCGGCGCCACCCCGCGCCCCGCGCGCTGCGGAAGGGGTGCGGAGAGCTGGGCGCCCGTCGCCCGCCCGGGGGAGCCCGCCCCCAGACCTCCGAAGCGCTCCGTGGCTTCTTGCTAGCCGTTTGCACACACACAGACACAGACACACACGCACACACACACAGACACAGACACACACACACACACACTCACACACACACACACACACACCCGTAGCCATTTTGGCTCAAGACGGGAACTCCTCCCCGTCCCGACTCCAGAGGCCCGAGGTCGAGGCGGAAGGGCAGCCCCTTCCCGAGGCCTGGCGGCCTCGACCAGCAGCGCGCCACGGCCCGTTTCCGAGAGACCCACGGGGGCCCAAGTCATGACCGCCGCCTGCTCGCCGCTTGCCTCCTCGCGGCGCTGACGGCTTGGGGCGCGTCGCGCCGGCCGCAGGCGCCCGCCGCGGAGGGCCCGGAAGGGGCGGTGCGCCATGGCCCGGAAGCGTCCCAGCGTCGGCTGCCGCATACCAGGCGAGGGAGCCCTACGGGGCATACCCCTGGGAGCGGCACAGCGGCGACTGGACGCTGCGGGGTGCAGCTGTCCCACGCCATCGGCGTCGCGAAGCTGGTGCCGCAGCTCTTCGAGGCCTTCGGCACCGAGCTGAGCAAGCTGGTGAGCGAGGGCACCAACAACGTGCCGAAGATGGAGTTCGACTGCCGCCCTGAGGACCACGAGGTGGCGCTAGCCCCCCGCGAGCCCATGTACCAGGAGACGGCAACCTACTGCCACTTCGGCCGAGAGCCATGCCCAAAAAACGGGAAGAAGTATTTCGAGTGGGAGTACGCCAGGGAAGGCAAGAAGCATGCCTCGACGGGCTCGGCGGAGGCCACTGCAACACTGAGGGCGTGCAGCCGCTCGCCCTACGCCATCGGCGTCGCGAAGCCGCTGCCGCTGTTCCGCGAGACCTGCGGCACCGAGCTGGACAAGCGGTCGGCAGAGTCCTTCGTGTGGGAGTCCGCCACGGGCGTCGTGGAGTACGCCTCGATGGACTCGGCGGAGGCCAGCGCGGCACTGACTGGGTGCAGCTATTTGTCCTACGCCATCGGCGTCGCGAAGCCGCTGCCGTTTTTCCTCGAGACCTACGGCACCGAGCAGGGCTAGCTGACGGCCGTGGACAGACCCAACGTGCTGAGGAGGAGTTCGACTGCCACCCAGGCGACATCGCAGTATCGCTCGCCCCCCCGCGAGCCCATGTACCAGGAGTCGGCAGCCTGCCACTTTGGCCGCGAGCCATGCAGTAAGGAAGGAAATATGTTCCTCGAGACGTACGGCACCGAGCAGGACAAGCTGACGGCCGAGGACATCGCCAACGTTTACAGCGAGGAGGCGTAGCAGCGTTCCGACCTTCTCCAGAGTGTGCAGCAGGAGTGCCAGCTGCGTGAATGGCCTCATCAATATTTTTTTGCAGCAAGAGTGCCAGCTGTGTGGATGGCCTCGCCGTGCACGAGTGTTCGGTGCGCGTCGGCGTGTGCTCGAGCGTGCACGCGTGCCCTGCGGCGGTTCCGCACCCTGGAGGTGTTTCGAGGTTCCGTCGCTGCGTCGTTCGCGCGTTCGCTCGTGGGCAGCAGGAGTGCCAGCTGCGTGGATGGCCTCATTACCTTTCTTCTGCAGCAGGAGTGCCAGCTGTGTGGATGGCCTCACCGTGGAGCTGAGGCCGTTGCGCCCGTGCTCCTGAGTGTGCTATGCCCCCTTCGGCGCGGATGAGAAGCCGTGGCTGGGGGGCCTGAGGGGCTGCTGTCCCTTGGGGTGCCTGGGCCCGCATTCGCCGTTGGCGGTGGCCTGGGCTCGGTTGGGGCTCGCTTGCTTTTCAGCCCCCCTTGGCTCCAGGCTGAGGGGCCTAGGGTGGGGCGCGGCCTCGAGAGGGCCAGCGCGCTCTGCACCCTGGGGAGTCGGCGGGGGCGCTGCCCGCGGCTCGGCTCCCTCGGTGGCTCGGCAGGCGGCGGTCGGTCGCTCGAGAGCCCAGCGCACGGGCCTGGCGAGGTGTTGACGCCCCAGGCTGCCGACGCACCAAAGCACCAAAACACACACACACACACACACACACACACACACACACACACACACACACACACACACACACACACACACACACACACACACACACACACACACACACACACACACACACACACACACACACACACACACACACACACACACACACACACACACACACACACACACACACACACACACACAACACACACACACACACACACACACACACACACACACACACACACACCACACACACACACACACACACACACCACACACACACAACACACACACACACACCACACACACACACACACACACACACACACACACACACACACACACACACACACACACACACACACACACACACACACACACACACACACACACACACACACACACACACCACACACACACACACACACACACACCACACACACACACACACACACACACACACACACACACACACACACAACACACACACACACACACACACACACACACACACACACACACACACACACACACACACACACACACACACACACACACACACACACACACACACACACACACACACACACACACACACACACACACACACACACACACACACACACACACACACACACACACACACACACACACACACACACACACACACACACACACACACACGCACACACGCACACACACATATATACCCCGCCGTGATGCCGTCCCGAACCCGCTGCCAGGTGCTGCTGCACCGGCTCGGCCGCCCCCCGCGCCCCGCCGCGGCCTCGTCCCGCCGCGTGGGTGTCATGGCGCCAACATTGCAGAGCGGATTTTCTTCGGAGAACGATGGGATGGGCCCGGATTGTCCTGGAGAGTTTCGCTCCGGATTTCGAAGTGAATTTCGTGCGGTATGTTTTGGCCAGAAATGCAGACTAAACAGAAATCCGCGTGAAGTTCACTTCGTTTTTGGCTCGCCGTTTCTGGTTTTGCATTGGGAAATCCACGCCGCAAATCCGCGGCAGCACGTCTGCAAGGTCGGTACAGTGATGAGTGCGCCCGCACCCCCCCTGTTCTCTTTTTCCCGCGGCCGGCCTTTCTCCCCCTCTCTTGCATTCGGGACAATTCGCAGTGCCGCTGCCTGGCTTGCCTGGGCGCGCGTGCGGACCGCGCTGCGACGCAACAGTTTGTGTATACTTTGCTGGGCTGCCCCAGTCTTCGTGTAAGTTCTGGGCTTGTTCTGGCATCGCGTGTGCGTGTACACACACACACACATATATGAAAGAGCGTGTTCTACCGCTGCTGGCGGAAAACCGAGGGGGGGTCACTACCGGTGCGAGCCCCTCTCCCCCCCCCCCCTCTGGAAAACCGGGGGGGTCACTACCGGTTCGAACCCCTCCCCAGACCCCCCCCTTCAGTTCATCATGAAAAGGGGGGGGGGGTCACTACTGGTTCGAACCCCCCCCCTCGAACTCGAAAACCGGGGGGGGTTACTACCGGTTCGAACCCCCCCCCCTTCCCCTCGAAAACCGAGGGGTGGTGCGGACAGTGGTGGGGACGGTGGTGGTGGGGACAGTGGTGAGGGGAACGGGTCAGTGGTGGGGACAGTGGGACAGTGGTGGGGACGGTAGTGGTGGGGACAATGGTGAGGACAATGGTGGGAACAGTGGGGACAGTGGGAAAGTGGTGGGGACGGTGGTGGTGGGGACAGTGGTGTGGGGACAGTTGGAATGTGGTGGAAATGTTGGGACAGTGGAGAGTACAGTGGTGGTGGGGACAGTGGTGAAGGCGGTGGCGAGGACGGCGGTGGGACAATGGGACAGAGGTACAGCGGGGACAGTGGTGGGGATAGTGGGGACAGTGGTGGGAACAGTGGGACAGCTCAGTGGGACAGTGGAGGGGTCAGTGGGACAGTGGGGACAGTGGGGATAGTCGTGGAGACAGTGGGGAGAGTGGAACCGTGGTGGGAACAGTGGTGGGGACAGTGGGGACAGAGCGACGTTGGTGGGGGCACTGGTCGGGACAGTAGGGACGGTGGTGGAACCAGTGGGGACAGTGGTGGTGGGGACAGTGGTGCTGGGAACAAAAGTGGGGGATGTGATGCGGACGGTGGTAGGGACCGGGAGTTGTTTGCTGGCGGTGCGTTTGGGGGGGGGTCGAACCGGTAGTGAACCCCCCCCCCCTCCGGTTTTCGAGGGGGGGGGGGTTCGAACCGGTAGTGGCCCCCCCCGGTTTTTCCGGATCCGGAGGGGGGAAGGGGGGGGGGAGGGGTTACAACTGGTAGTGACCCCCCCGGTTTTCAAGTTCGGGGGGGGGGGGGGGGTTAGGGGAAGGGGGGGTTTTGCCGGGGGAAGGGGGGGAAGGAGGGGGGGGGGTCCAGCAGGGGGGGGGATTTTCGGGAGGGGGGGGGGGGAACCCCGGGCTCCGGAGGAAAAGGGTGGCAATTTTCTACAGTAAAGCGGCGGTGGATCACGCTCTCTCTCTCTCTCTCTTTCTCTCTCTCTCTCTCTCTCACATATATATATATATATACACACACATGTAGGTGTGTCAATCCCGAGACCAGCGACGAACAAATGTTTTTGTTGCTTCTCCCTGTAGCCCTAGAATAGGCTTTGTCTCTTGAGAGTTTCGGTTCGGCGACGGCGCCGGTACATCCATGGTCGAAGCCTGCCTCATCGGGCATCGTCCCGCTCAATATCCCGCACAGTCCGGCTCAATCCAAGCCTCATCCTGGGCCTCAATCCGGCACGGTCCAGCTAAGTGGCCTCTTGATCTGGCCCAGTCGCCTTTGACCCTGCGTGCAAAGACCTCCCGGGAGTTGCTTCCCTTCATGCTGCAATCCAATTCTCATCCTGGGCCTAAATCCGGCGCGGTCCAGCCACATGGCCTCGTGATCTTGCCCAATTGCCTTTGACCCTTCTTGCAAAGACCTCCTGGGAGCTGCTTCCCGACATGCTGCAATCCCACAGGGGCCGCTCGGGGCGCACACGTTCGCCACGGGCGCCACCTACTTCGGGCAGTGGGCGGGCAGCGCCAGGCACGGCTTTGGCGTCATCGTCTGGCCCGACGGGGCCCGGTACGAGGGTCAGTGGCGGGACAACAAGGCCCACGGTGTCGGCCGCTTCACTCACTGCGACGGCGATTCGTACACGGGGGAGTGGGAGTCCAATGTTGCGCACGGGAAGGGTACCTACCACCACAAGGATCTCACCAGTTACTGCGGCGAGTGGGTCTGGGATTTGCAGGACTGGCACACCCTTCGCCCGTACACCAAATACAAGTGTTGTTCTCCCTCCCCTTCCCCGGACTCTTCCCCCCTGACATCCGACGATGTGATTCTGTCAGCCCGCGGCCCAACAGGGTCCCTTCCCTTTCCTTGATTGTCCTGGGGCCCGAAAGCGGCACCGAGAAACCGCAATCAGAGGAGAACGCCGGGGATCTGGATCGTGTGCCTGAGCCCTTGGGGCCGGTGCCCCAGGGCCGGGCCGGCCGGATTCCCCCTCGTCCCTGTCGGCACCAGAAAGCCCAACCCCTCCGAGCTTTGCTCTTGGCGTCCCGAGAGGGCTCCAGGAGGCCGCAGAAGAGCCCAAGTACCCGCCAATATGTCTCGAGAGAGCTCGTGTACGGCAGGTTCATGCGGCGATGGCGCGCCGGCGACGCTGGCGAAGGCGTTCAAGGTTGAACTCCGCGCGGTAGAACGACGCAGAAGCACTGATGAACACGGTAACGCCACAGGACCAGACGGAATTCATCTTGGAACGATCGGGGCCGCGATCGCTTCGAGGTCAAACACGATCGACACGGTGTCAAAAGCCTGTTGCGCTCGCCGACGTCGCACGGACTTGCCGTACGACGGAAAGAAGCCCCACGAGGACCCACGATGGCTCCCAAGACGGCCCAACGATAGGAGGCCACACGGGAACCCCAGAAAGGGCCCCGAGGCCGCCCCCGAAAGATCCAAACGCCCATCCAAGTTTTGGTTGTTTGACAACCGGTGGGTTTTGATGTTGTTCGTTTCGGGTCGTCTCCCCAAGGAGTACCCGAGTTCAGGCTTTCGATCCGCCTCACCCCTGATCTCGTGGGTTTCCTCGTGGTCGCCCGCGGCCTTCTCAGGGGCTTTTTGAGTTTTTTTGTGCACCACCCTTGTGCTCTCCGGACATTGTTTCGTTTCCTTCTTGTCCTTCTCCCCTCCGTTTCCTCCGTCTCCTCCTCGTCCTCCTCCTCCTCCTCCTCCTCCTCCTCCTCCTCCTCCCTGTCTTCATCTTCGGATGAGTATGTGCGTGTGTGTGTGATTATGTTCGTTCTGGTGCAGCCCGTCCCCACGAGTTGCATTTTGCTGGAAACGGGGGGCTCTGGACTACTGGATCTGATGTACGCTTCATGGCGGGCACTCGTAGAGCGAACTTTCTCTACATCAAAGTTTGCTTACAGAGCTTTTCAAGCTGACGTGTGGGTCGGTTGTCAGGTTGTGGCGATCACTCCTCCTCGTTTCTTTCTCTCTTCTTGCATGCGGCACGCTCGCTCATCTTTCAGGCCACTGTTCAGTGCATGAGTCTGCCTATCGCAGGTCGGCTCGTGTGGTGTTCCCGGTTTGCTTGGCGACCTGTTGATTCGCACATCGGTCGAGGCGGAGTCGGGTGAAGTTCTGTGGTTCCACTCCCTCCTCCTCGGAAAAAAGCCAACGAGTGCCCCCAGAGGGCTTCCAGAGGTTCCCACGATGGCCCAAAACCGCCCGAAGAGGACTTCCAGAAGAGCGGGAGATGGCTCAAGAGGCCCAAAGATGGCGCATACTTGCTCCACGATGGTCCACAGGCACCCCGAAATGTCCCGACAAGGAAGACCCTAAGATGGCCCCACCAGAGCCCAAGATGGCAGTTCGAGGCTTCAAGCTGGCCCGAACACGAGCCTGCATTGCCCGGAGATGGCAATTCGAGGCTTCAAGCTGGCCCGAACACGAGCCTGCATTGCCCGGGGGTAGCCCAGAGATAGCTGCGCGAGAGCCGGAACATGATGATGGATGACAAGGAGGTGGAAGAGGCAGAAGAGCAGGATGAGTAGCACCCTACTTGCCCACCCCCATAACTCTTTCCTCCAGAGGCCCTCCTCATCCTCGTCTTCACCATCCTTGCTCATCCTCCTCCTCCTCCTCCTGCTCCTCGTTCACCTCTACCTCTCCATTCTCGTCATCGTTCTCATCTTCATCGCCGTCTTCCCTCCTTCATCCCGTCAGTCTCCTCCCCGCAAGATGGCCAGAAATCAGCCCCATGACGGCCCAAGATATCCTCAAGACGCCCCCCAAAGCACTTCAGACCGTGACCCATTGAGGATGACCGTGGTTCGCAGCAAGGTGGCCCGAGAAAGCCCTCAGAGGCCCCCGGAAGGCGTCCAGGATGCTCCCAGAGGCCCCCAAGAAGCCCTTGAACAAGTTTTCGTGAGAACCCCAAGAGACTCTCCCAGGAGGATCCTGAGTACAAAAGCAGAGGAGGACGAAGAAGGCTTCTCAGGGTAGGGCGAGAAAGAGGAAGAGGATTAGGAAACAGTAGGGGTCAAGGAAGAACATGTTCATAACTATGATTCCGAAAACGGCAACAATGAGTTATCGCCATGAATTATCGTTGTTCTAACTTGTTTATCTACCTGGCACCCGCTGCATGCCAACCTTGAAGGACCACGGTGCATGTTTCAGTTTGCATCCGTGCATGACTCTCCTGGCTTTCCAGGAGGGGTACGGAGTGGAGACGTGGGCGGAGGGCACGCGATACGAGGGCCACTTCCGCAGCGGCCAGAAGCAGGGCCACGGCATCTACTTCTGGCCGGACGGGTCTCAGTACCGGGGCACCTGGGAGGCGAACACCATCAACGGGCACTCGCGGGCGCAAACACATCCATACTCACGGCCTCGCGGTCTGGGTTTCTCGGCCGCGAGCTCATGGACCAAGGGCGGCATTTATTGCGCTGGCTGCCCCACGCGGAACGTATCCACGGGGTCGCGAACGTATGCACGGGATCGCGCGTCGGTGTCCAGACTCGGCGGCGAGCGAGGGGGGAAAATGAGAAGGAGAAGACCGTCTCGGAAGGTGGCGGGGGCCTTCAGAGGTTTTCTGTGTCTTCGGGGAAGGCTCAGAGCACTTCTCAGAAGGCCGGGAACCTCCTAGCCTTTTGAGAAGGCCCGCCTCTTCTCGCCTCCCCCCTGGGCTCGCCGCCGACAGACCGCGAGGGCTTGGATGCGAACACGTTCGTCGATCGCCAGGCATGGCGTGTACAGTGGGAGCGACGGCCGCACCTACAAGGGCACGTGGCACGATTCCGTGATCCACGGCCGCGGCATTTACTGCTGGCCCAATGGCCGCGAGTATTCGGGCGAGTACCAGTTCGACCAGAAGGACGGCTTCGGGGTATTCAGGTGGTTGGATGCTCGTTTGGGGGACCTTCCTGGGGCCCACCTAACTGATATGTTCGACTCAAGTTCGACTCAAGTTCGACTCTATTCGATTCAGGTTCGACTCAGGTTCGACTCAAGGCCGACTCAGGTCGACTCAAATCGACGGACGTTCGACGCAGCTTCGACGTACGAGTGGAGCAAGTGGCTCCAGGAAGGTCCCCAGAATGAGCATCCAAAGGTGGCCGGACGGCCGGAGGTACGAGGGCTTCTGGTCGAACGGGCAACAGCATGGGCACGGTCGTTCGATCCTGAAGGACGGCACTGTGAAGCTGGCCGCATGGCGTGGCGGCACGCATGTAAGGCTGGCTCCAGCGGAGCAAAATTGACGATTGTATGTTCTGAGTGGCCGCCTCCATGCAGGAGGAGGGGGAAGAGTCGGAAGAGGATAAGCCTGGTAGCCTGGTGGCCTAGCTTGGTTCAGGCTTCGCAGCTCCTGACGAGCACGGGGGAGGGAAGAGAGTAATCGGGCTTGGGTCCTTCATCCTTTTCTCCTCCTCCTCCTCCTCCTCCTCCTCCTCCTCCCCTTTCCTCCTTCCCTCCACCCCGTCCGCTGCTCTCCTCCTCCTCCTCCTCCTCCTCCTCCTCCTCCCTCCCTCTTCCTCCTCCTCCTCATCCTCCTCCTCCTCTCTCACTACCTCCCTCTTCCTCGGGCCATACAGACGGCATGTGTTGATCATACTGCCACTTGCATTATCGAAGTAATGCTTCGCAAGTCGATCCTGAAGTCGGCCGTTCTCCGTGTTGGAGTGCAGACCTTCGGACTCCATGTAATGCATTAGTATGTTTACAGCGGATCGGAGTGCAACAATTACAGCACGCACGTATTCAAAGCCTGAGGTGAACATGTATACACCTCGCATAGGCAACGAACGAAGTGTCGACTTGACTTCAGCAACGTGTCGGGGGTACATCAATTTGAGCACGCGTTGCTCTGCGCAGAGCCTCGGAGCATGAGACTGAAATGACGTTGCACCATCCGCTGGGCAATATCATTCTCCTCTCATCACCCCCCCACTGAACAGCGGCGATCCTGAAACAGGGAGGGAAGAAGAGAGAGGGGACAAGAGGACAGCAGATAATGACTGAGTGACGGTGGAGCAAGGAGAAGGCGGGGAGGGTGGACGGTGGAGGATGAGGAGGGAGGGGAAAGGAAGGGAAGGGAAAGGCAAGAGAGGTAGGAAAAGGAGGTAGGACATGAGGTTAGGAGGAGAGGAAAGGGAGGCAGGAAGAGGTGAAGGAAAGGAAGGGAAAGGAAAGGAGAGGAACAGAGAGGTGGGAGACGGAGGAGGTGGAGGCACACGCGGGGACAGCACCCACGGAGTAGAAGTGCGGGAGGATGGATGATCAGATCGCAAACATGGATCAAGGGGATTAGCGACGGGTCCCGTTTCCACAGGAAAACGCGGATTTCCGCCGCCGAGCGAGGCGGCGCCGGTCGCATTGTGGGGAGGGCACCTCCCCCGATCCATTGATTTGGCGACCGCGCGCCAAATCCATGGATCGCTAATCCATGTGTGCGCGCCCCCGCGATGAGGGGTAGGACAGGGCTCCTTTCGATTCAAGAGGCTTACGCGTTCGCCGCCCGCCCACTCCAGTTCTCGCCAGAGGAGGCGAAGGCGGCTCCACGACGGCATGAACATGTGCAGAACATCGTGCAAGACCACCCCGCGGGTGTGTTTTGTTGTTTTTGCCTGCGCTCCATTGTTGTTCCCAACCCATCGCATGTTAGGGTCAGGCATGCCGCGTGGCTGATCGATCGTATATTCGCCGTTTGGTCGTCGTCCCGTCATCATGAGGGGTAGGACAGGGCTCCTTTCGTTTCAAGGGGCTTGTGCCATTCCGCCGACCCCCAGAAGCAAGGCGAAATCAACGGGTGAGACCTTTTGGGGTCTCTCGCTGGCGTCCCGCGTTTTTGCGTGCTTCTGGGGAGAGTTTTTTGGGCGTCCTTGGCGGTGTGGGAGGTCCTCCTGGGGCGGAGGGCTTGGAAGGCTAGTTCGAGTTACCTCTCTTAGGACAGGGCTCATTTCGATTCCTCTGATTCGGTTGGATTCGATTTCGATGGTTTCCGATTTCGATTCGATTCGACTTCGGAGTCCGATCTGGACTCCGATTTCTCAGTGGGAGCCTACTGGCCTGCCGATTTCCGCGGATTCGACTTCTCCCGACTCGGCTGCCGATTTCCGCCGATTCGATTCGTTTCGATCGCCGATCCGATTTATTGAATTGAATTGAACGCCCCTGATGGGGGCAGACACCGCCGCCCCACTTGGATCCTGGGGGAGCGGCGGCCGCTCCGCGCGGCGAATAGGAGATGTTGTGGTGTTGGTGCTGGTGCTTCCGCTTGGGGGCCTCGCGGGGCTCTATGGAGAGGACATTGCGTTCCTCAGCGAGCTCTCTGTCGTATGACCCTGAGCCCAGGACGCCGCAGAGAGGCTGGAGGAGCTGAAAGCAGCGAGCTCTGTGTCGTATGGCCCTGAGGCCAGGACGGCCGCAGAGAGGCTGGAGAAACTGACAAAACCGTCGGGTTCTTCCCAGAAGGCGCGCCGAGGAGTGTCTTTCACATGACCCTGAGGCTAGGACGGCTGCAGAGAGGCTGGAGAAGCTCAACAAAAACCGTCGCCTTCGTCCCAGGGGGACCCCTGGAGGGGCCCAAAAAGGAGCCAGAATGCGTCAAGTGCGGCGACTTGGGGTGAACGATGAAAACAGTCGGGGTTTGTTTGCGGTTCCTGGAAGAGCCCCTGGAGGCTCTGAGGGGGCGCCCCAGATGGGCGAAATACTGTGCCAAGAAGGCGGCCAGACTGCTCAAGATGGGTCCGAGAGGTTGTCAGGACGGTCGTAGAGAGCATGCCCGGGTTCGAAGATGGCCGCAAGAGCCAGCGGAGGTGCACGGGAGCTCCAAGAGAGGCGCAAGGAGAAGTGCGAGAAGGCCAGAATCATCAACATCCCATGTGTGTTTGCGATGATTTTTGCTTGTTGGGGTGTTTTGGTGTATGTGGCTCGAAAAGATGTGGAAATGCATCTGAAACGACTCAAAGTGGCCTGAAGGAGGATGAAAATACGCCCAGGAGAGCCTCTGGAGGTCCGAAAAAGCCGGCCCAGGGGGTTCCTGGAGGGGTCTCTGAGAGCGCCTGGCGGCGCCTGGATGGCTAGCCTGTGAAAGGGGGGTCGTCTTGGGACGGAAATGGCGGCCAGAAGGCGCCCCGGCCGCAGCCGGGGCCCCCAGGCCGGCGGAATGAGCGAGGCGCGGGGAGGACCCTAGGAGGGGTTGCGAGGGCTCATAGGCAGGGGTAGATATGAAAAGCGCGCTGGAGAGAAGACTTACACAACGTACTATTGAAGACCATGTTGTGGATCTCACACGCCGTACCCGGTGAGGCGGCGGATCGCTTCGCTCATTCCGCCGGCCCATATTACCTCGCCGCTTTGTTGGGGCCTCTTGGGGGCCTCTGGGAGGCAGTTTTGAGGCCTCTTGGGGGCCGTGTTGGGGCCTCTTGGGGGCCTCTTGGGGCTTCTTGGGGTGCCTCTTGAGGGCCCCTTTGGGCCTTTTGGGGACGACTTTTCGGTTCCTGATCCCCATCTTGGGCCTCTCTTGGGGCCGTTTTGGGGCCGTCTTGGTCCATCTTGGGCGCCTCTTGGGATGTCTTGGGGCCATCTTGGGCCGTCTTGGAGGCTTTTTGGGCCATCTGGGGCTGTCTTGGGCCGTCTTGGAGCGTTCGAAAGCCGAGAAGACGAGAGCGCCAAACTCCATCAGAAACCCATGGGAAATCAATTGTGTTTGCCTCCTGGGGCCCTCTTGAGACGCGTCTTCGAGGCCTCTTTGGGCGTCTTGGGGGCGTCTGCGGCCGTCTGGAGGTTATCTTGGGCGTCTCGGGCCGATCGGTCGGCAACTCGGAGCCCTCTTGGACCGTCTTGGGGACTCTTGGGGCCCTCTAGGAGCGCTCTGGGGCGCCTGAAAGCCGCGCACAGAAGGAAAAAACAACTCTGGGTTGGACCAGCCGGGGCCTTCGTCCAGGGGTCCACAGGGGCCGCCACGCGCACGCGAACTAGAAATATTGTTAACCTGTTGCTGGAGATCTTAGCACGCCTCCAGCCCGTTGGGCCCGCGAATTCAATTCTGGGCTCTACTGTAGGATGCCTCCGAGGAGACTGCAGCTCCAGCCTCTGCTCGGCAAGGCGGCAGCGCGCCTTGTTTATTTGTTTTTTATTTCGGTCGCGCGGGCGCTTTTGTTCGCGCCCGCGCCCGGCAGGCCCGTCGTGGCACGTCCGGGGTGCTTTCTCTCTCCCACACCTCGGGCGCGCCCGCACGCACGAACCCAGACATCCTCCGATCTGTTTTTTCAATCCGCGGCCCCAGAGCTCCCGACCCCTCCCCTGGGGGCAATTTTGCACTCCGGATCCATCTGTGATGGTCCCAGGGCCCGATAACGGGCCCCAGAGGCCAAAATCAGAAAAAGAAGTAAACGCCGGGATTGAAAACACATGCCCCGAGTTTCTTGATTGCGTTGGGGGGGCGCCACCCCCGCCGACAGCCCCACGTCGACCCCCGTAGCGGGCAGCCACCGCGCGCCGAAGGCGCTCCGACCCCCGTCGCGGCGCGACGACGAGGCGAGGTTGGCCCCCGTCGGGGGGGTACCCTCCCGACGTTTACTAAGAAACCCAGAGGATCGACGGAGATCTGGGTACCCTCCGCGCTTGCTTCCGTCCACTGCACGGCACACGCCGGATTCCGAGCGCGGGCCGCGCCAAGCCGAGAGGGCCCGCCCATCCGACCCGTGGCAGCCGCGTGCCTCGCACGCCAGGCGCCGCCCGCCGTTCCCGTGAGGCCCCCCTCCTTCCTCCACCTCCACCTCCTCCTCCTCCTCCTCCTCCTCCTCCTCCTCCTCCTCCTCTTCTTCGTCCTCCTCCACAATTACTCAATATGAGTATACTCTCCCTCTTCCCCTGATGGCGTCCGGGTGATGGCCGCGCACCCTCCGCGTACTGTTTTTTCACACGCAGGATCCCAGGGAAATCCCGGGAAACGACTCTCGCTGAGGCGCCGGCGTCATTTTTGTCCCAAAATGCTGCTCTCGTTGAGGCGCCGGCCTCATTTCTGCTCCCGAATCGTTCCGAATCGTGCTCCCGCTGCAGCGTGGGCCTCATTTTCGGATCGGTGTTTGGCCTCCGTCGTTCAGGATGGCGTTCTCGCCCCAGCGCGGGCCTTTTTCTCGCGCGCCCATCCGCCCGCCACCACCGCGCCGCACCGCCACCACCACCACCACCACCACCACCACCACCACCACCACAACCACCACCAGCACCAGCACCAGTACCACACCACCACCACCAGCACCACCACCCACCAGCACCACCACCACCACCCCACCACCACCACCACCACCACCACCACCACCACCACCAGCACCATCACCACACCAGCCCCAGCACCAGCACCAGCACCAGTACCATACACCAACCACCACCAGCAGCACCACCCCCAAAACCAACCACCACC